AAACACAATAGTCCATAATCCTGACAGCTATAGTTTAGTTATTCTATATAAATGCTCAAATGAATCTCAGACGTGAACATTTGCTTTGCTTCCTTCATGTACAAATTAATTCTAAAAATAAATATATATTTCCTTTTAGAATTAATTTGTTTGTGTATACACACCCACCAACACAAACTTATTATATATACATAATATATTTATTTATTTATTTTTAAATATATATTTCCTTTTAGAATTAATTGGATTGTGTATACACACACACCAATTAATTCTAAAAGGAAATATATATGAACATTTTGAGAAAATTATTACATTATGAACATTTTATTACAATAATAATGTAATACATATTACATCATGTGTAGTTTTTACATTATGAGTTGCTACAGCACCTCCTTCTGGACTACAATTACATAATTATAACCAAATTTAAAGAAAGAAAAAAATAGATATTAAAAAAATTTTAAGAAATGAAAAAGTCAAAGAAATTAAAATGTATGTATTGCAGCTACATGAGAAGCACCTCACTAAGTTTGAGATCTCCACGACACGTCTCTGATGTTCAGACACTTTTGTTGGCCCCCTAATTAACAGTTTGGCAAAAGGTAGTAAAGGGAAATGAGTAAACTATTTCTGACGCTGTCAAAGTTTTAGCATTTTCTCAATTTTAATTGATTTGCCATGTTTTTTTTTGTTTTTTTGCACACAGACTACAGAACATTGTGAGGATGCACACCAGGGGCCTCGTGTATAAAACTTTACGTAGATTTAATCCTAAATGTGTGCGTACGCACACATGTGTAGTTTTTACATTATGAGTTGCTACAGCACCTCCTTCTGGACTACAATTACATAATTATAACCAAATTTAAAGAAAGAAAAAAATAGATATTAAAAAAATTATAAGAAATGAAAAAGTCAAAGAAATTAAAATGTATGTATTGCAGCTACATGAGAAGCACCTCACTAAGTTTGAGATCTCCACGACACGTCTCTGATGTTCAGACACTTTTGTTGGCCCCCTAATTAACAGTTTGGCAAAAGGTAGTAAAGAGAAATGAGTAAACTATTTCTGACGCTGTCAAAGTTTTAGCATTTTCTCAATTTTAATTGATTTGCCATGTTTTTTTTTGTTTTTTTGCACACAGACTACAGAACATTGTGAGGATGCACACCAGGGGCCTCGTGTATAAAACTTTACGTAGATTTAATCCTAAATGTGTGCGTACGCACAAAAGTTAGATTTTGCGTACGTACAAAAGTTTTCAGATTTATAAAGCCATGCGTACACCAGAACCTGTGCAAAATTCTCTTTGCAATACCCAGTCAGCGGAAGATTGTGCGTACATGAATCTCCACCCTGTCTCCGCCCCGAAATAGTCATATATGGAGCTTACAATGCCTAGTTTTAATATGTATAATGCCATCTGCATATCATTTCCATGCATATATCATCCACGTGACACCAGGTTTAACGCAGTTAAGGGTAGGAATACGTTAGGAAAATATGAGATACGGACTACAAATGCTTTTTGAGACATCACTATTCTAAGTTATGCAACTTGCCTAAAAGGTAAACATATATTTTAGAATGTTTATAGCCTATATTTTTATGGAAAGAGATAGGCCTTATTTTTTTGCAGTGTAAATAGCTGTCTAACTCACCGCATCAATAACAAACCTTTTTGAAAATAAAACGTGCATATCTTACAGTTTCCTTCAAATTCTATCATTTAAATATGGTGTTTGTCACAATATTGTGAGTACGAAAGGGATTATAGCTGATCGCTACTGTCTGTCTGTGCGCGACACCTGAGAACAGTGGTTCTACTGTCATCAGACCAATGGACTGTTTGATCAACGAGCACATCCTTATGTCTGTCGTTACCATCTATGTTCCAAAGCCATCAGACAAAGTCAAGTTCACAAAAAATTATCATTATTATTCGTGCAAAAGTATTTTCTCAGAACATTTGTTTTGCTATTTAGAACACAATTTAAAGCAGAATTGTCATACGCCAAGCAATCCTTGCTGTGATTAAAACATTAAATCACATACCACAGGAAAACTATTCGAAAGCAGCACATCCACGGCAAATATTTCTTTTAAATTCATACAACAATGTTGTAATTTCTGGATAATAATTTCATGAAATTTCAGTGCTTAACTTCATTATTCAGAGTGTCATATTTAATCTAAACGTGTATGTTAAATGTAAAACAGATTTTAAAATCATTCTGTTTGCTTCCTTATTTCGCTCACTCCAGTAAAAGAGTGCGTACGCATGGTCTAGAGCAGGGATTCTCAAATCTGGCCCACGAGATCCACTTTCCTGCAGAGTTTAGCTCTAACCCTAATCAAACTCACCTGAGCATGCTAATCAATGTCTTCAGGATCATTAGAAAATCACAGATAGCTGAGTTTTATCAGGGTTGGAGCTAAACTCTGCACCGCATTGGCCCTCCAGGGTAAGATTTGAGGAACCCTGGTCTAGAGTGTCCGTATGGTGTGCACATATTTGCGCCAAGTTGATCTTTTATCAATCCCAATATGTGCGTGGAAAATTGCGATGTTTATACATCAGGCCCCAGGTTGTGTTATAACCTGCCCATAGGGGGCGCTACAACTAAAAACTTGTCATAATTCCACTAAAGTTTGATCAAGGGAAAAATAAAAAAGATATGTTTGAATAAATTTGACCCGAATCTTCTTTTGGAAAGTGCTAACCAATCTTTGGAAAGCAATTTCTAAATTATCAGCCATTTATATATTAATGTGAATGACAGAGGAAGGCTTTAATATTAATGTTGTCCACTAGAGGGAGCAACAGGGTAAGCAACCCTTTTCTCACAGGTCTCAGTTTTCATCTCATAGTTTGGCATCAGTGTAAATTGTTCAATTAAATTTTTTTTTTAAAAAACATCTACAACCATGGTGCATAATTAGTTGATGTGATCTTATTGATCATTAAATTTACTGTTTAAATTTGATATACAATGGTACTCAATACATGTTTGTTGCCAGACACAACTGATCTGCTGTTCAATTAAAATGAAGAGTCAATATAATTTTTTTCTTTTAATATAATATTTGTGTAAAGACACATTATATTAGAAAAGATCAACAATGGCACATTGCATTACATTATAAACTGGTTTATGGCATAATGCAGATGAAGCATTTATAATTTTGTGTCTGTGCTTGATTATTTTCACTTGGGTCTACTTATATGGTGTATTAAGGTTTATAGTAGGTGTTAACAGTGATTAACAACTAATAGTACAAACTAGAAACCAATAAAGCTAATTTAAATAGAGAGAATAACCAGCCTGTCACACCCCGGCAGCAGGGCCTAGTAGACTAACTTACTGCTGACTTCATGTGTTTGCTTGAGGGCAGCAGCGCTGTCATACCCAAACCAAAGGCACAGTTTTATGTGGCCCTATAGCAATTGCATATGTATGTCATCATAAATACTAGTTAAATAAAAATCTATTAAAGAAATACAGATAGTCAGATATATAGATCTGTGAACTACATAGACAAAAGTATTGGGACACCTGACCTTACACCAACAGGGACTTTAATGACATTGTATTCTAAATACATAGACATTAATATGGAGTTGGTCCTGCTTTGCCGCTTTAACAGCTTCAACTCTTCTGGGAAAACTTTACATGAGATGTTGGAGTGTTTCTGTGGGATTTTTGCACATTCATGCAGTAGAGCATTTGTGAGGTCAGATACTGATGTTGGATGAGAAGGCCTGGTTCGGGATCTACGTTCCAGTTCATCCCAAAGGTGTTGGATGGGGTTTGAGATCTGTACAGCCAGTCGAGTTCTTCCACACACACAAACATTGATTTGTGCATATGCTGGAACAGAAAAGGGACTTCCCCAAACTGTTCCCACAAAATGTCTTGGTATGCTAAAGCATTAAGATTCCTATTCTCTGGAAGTAAGTCACACCCCTGAAAACATCCCCATACCATTATCCCTCCTCCAACAAACGTCACCAAACACCTGTGCCAGTGCAGTCAGGCAGGTAACGTTCTCCTGGCATCTGCCAGTCCCAGAGTCACCCATCAGACTGTGATTGGTCACTCCGCAGAGCAGGTTTCCACAGCTCCAGAGTCCAGTGTCTGCGTGCTTTACTCACTCCATCCCACGCAGGGCATTGTACTTGGCGACTTGCATCCAGCTGCTCAGTCATGAAAACCTGTTCCACGAGTCTCCCGCCACTCAGTTTGTGTGCTGATTTTAATGCCAGTGGAAGTTTGTAACTCTTCAGCTTTGGAACCAGCAGAGCGTTGATGGCTTTTACATACCATTCACCTCAGCACTCGGTGACTCTCAGGCACTGGTAAAGACAGTAAGGACCGTACCTCACTACACACTGGTGACTCTATTTCCGGTGATAGACTGGTCACGTGTAAAATGTCACCAACATCTGACAGGATAGATCTCAATTTTTGATGTTAAAATACATAATAATAAAATATATATATATTTGATTATTTAATTGTTCTGTTTTGCAACATTTCAGGTGGATATTAATTACAAATGTTCACAAGAGTGCTACCTTATGCTTATGTTGAAAGATAATTATTAAATGTTTAATTTAATGTATTCATTTCTTATTATTTGCCTTGGTCTTGCTTTACCTGCTATAAGAGGGAATATAGCAATTTCAAGGTTTTATGTTGTTTCAGGCTGATAGTAGACTTTAGTTAATGCAGTTTTGGGTACCAGACAAGACTTGTTGTAAACTGGTTTTGGATAATAGATAAAACGGATGTCATCTGACCTATTCATAGACATTATCACAGACCAATGACTGTTCAGCTGCCCAAAGCATCCTTCATTATACGGCTAAGCTAAGCCATCACTGGTCAGCACTAAGTGTGCATCACATACTCCTCTTCATTTTCATTTCAATTCAACAATTGCTTTTAAGCTCAAATGATTTATCAAATGGATGAAAAATATCAAACTATGACTTTAACACATTTTATTATTGCACACAAATCCATTGCATTACTGTGATAAGGCAGTACAATATATACAGTTTATATATAGTTGCCTTCAGAAAGTATTATTACACCATCACATTTTAAAGATTAAATGTTTTTTCACACGTCAAGAACAATAAATGCAAAACTTTCACAAATCAAAGAAAAAAAGAAAAAACTATTAAAATTACCTATTTGGCAATGAGAAATAAAAAGGGAATCGATACTTTCTGAAGGCACTATATATTTATAATGTGTTCAATATTTCAACCCAAAAACTGAAACCTGCCCACTAAAACATTCAGAAACTAGCAGCTGTAACATCAAGCAAATCTGACCAAATCATCACACCTCTGTCAGGAATCCATCTATTGGTTCGTCCTGTTTTCACACAGAATAACCTTATATTATGGCAAGCAAACATGAACGCACAGACAGAAGATAAACGTGTGTAAATATTCCAGCTAAATGTGTTTTTGAGTACTGTAATAGAGAAATCACGAAATAAATGTTCAAATCAACAAACTCGTATGGCTATTATCACATACAGTTTCTGCAGGACTGTAGAGAGAGGTGATTTTTGAATGTTGCATCCCGTTCAGTCTACGAGTCAGAATTCAGCACAAAACGCTCCCATCTTCTTGCACTCGCTTGCTTTCTTCCTCCGTTTCATGCAACCTTTGTGTTCTCAACGTACCACATAGTGGCTTGCACATCAAGTACAAAAATATATTTCTATTGACAAGAGCAAACGTCAGTAAATATTAGTTATCTGCAGACAGATCTGTGGGGTGTTCAGAGTTACTAACTGTTCAGTCGAGTTACTCATATAAGCGTTTAACATCACATCACACATGGGAGTAGATGCCTTACAATGTCTAAACACACAATGATACTGTTTCTGCTTTTCCCGTTTAAAATCAAATACTTGAAGACAGAAGAACCGTTTGTGTTCAAACATTCGAAAAAGGACTCTCGTAACCAAGACTAGTTCATGTTCAGGCACATACACTAGCATAAAGGTGAAGTGTGTCATTTCTGCTCTTTCGCCCATGTTTGTCACTGATCGCTTCTCAACATGCAACTGGCAGGAAAGTCTCTTAGTGACAGACAAATAACACACTTCACCTCTGAGGAGTGAACGACACAGAAAACACAAGCACTGATGGAGAGGACAGACGCCTCATCCGTAGTTGTAGGTGAAGTTGTAAGTGCTGGGCTCTTTGGGCACAGGGGGAGGAGCCTCAGGGATGGTGATGTTCTCCAGGTCGAGGAGGCGGAGCTTCATTTCCATGCTCATTAATGTGTCAAGGTCACTTCGTGTGAGATCGCTGCCCAACTCCTTCCCCAAGAGCGCAGACAGTCCATCCGTCCAGATGCAGTACTGATCCACACAAACAAACGTCACTCATCTTTCTACAAATGACACATTTTTACCAATAAAGTGTAAAATGCCATATTCAAACACCCCAGTCTACTGTAGGCCTGTAGTGTCCCGCACTTGTCCTCAAACTCTTGCAGGTCCGACAGAACTGTGACTTAAGTGCTGTTTTTGAGACTCACCTCGTATTTGTTGGTTGCCACAAAGTTGAGAGCCTCATCAGGATCATAGAGGATGGAAAACGCCAACTCTAACACTTCCTACAAACGCAGCACCATTCGAACACCTCAGTCATGCATGTATTACCATATTAACATGTCTGCTTCATAAATGCATTATTTAATAATGATGATTAGTTCAGTGATTAATTGTTTATGCAGGCAGGCAGGCTTTGAAAAAAGACCTTAAAAAAGAGTTTCATGTCAAATCTTTATCAGTTCTGTTCATTAATGCGCTGGCGAAGATGAAGTAAGTGGTTTTTACCTTGTTCTGTTTGAGCGCGCTCTTCTCCTTCATGTGTGGACAGTCTTTCCCTGTCAGCACCGCTTTAATGTCCGACACGGGAACTGTGGGTCAGTGACAGTAAGTTTGCGCAACACATGATGTGAAAACTAGTCAGTGGTTTTCTATCACATAAGTGCACTCACTTGTATCGGTGAGCAGTTCAAACGGCACTTCGCCCTGTGTAGACTCGTCCAGATCTCCGTAGTGCAGGACCTTGTGATTCAACGACAGACGGCAGAACCAGAACTTCTCTGTGAGAGGAACCAAAGACCATTAGACACTCCAACAAGAGAAAACTCGCATTAGAGACTAATACGGCAGAAGCGGCTGTCTTGGGCAGATGTGAGCACCTTGTCTCCGTCTGTTGGCGAGTTTGCGAAAGCAGCTTCCCTCACACAGACGACTGAGTCGCTGCTGTTTGATCAGCTCCAGAATCTCTGGCTGGATCCGCTCACGCAGCTCACTGACAATCAAGAGGACACACACTTGAGACCAGCTGATCCTCACGCTCAGATAAACTCATATGAACATCTGGATTGGTCGGTCGCTCCTCCTCAGTACGTTTGTCTTGTTTTACAGAGCAAATGTCTAAAGATTCTTAAATCAAGATATATTCAGTAGAGAAGCAAAATGACAGAAGATAAGTCTTGTTTTCCGTGAAACTGGTCAAAATGAAGTGAGTTTATGATTTTAACAAGAACAAGTATCTGCCAATGAGCTCAGAAAAATCAACTTAACTCAAAAGTAATTTTCATACCCCACTGACAGATATTTGTGACCCGTGCTGGCAAAATGAGTCAAAATGCGCACGGGCAAATTTTGAGCTACAAGCAATAAAATGACAAAAATGCAGATTTGAGTCGGATTTGAGGTTTTCACAAAAATTAGTTCATTAAGCCCGCTTCTAGCGATCCCAATGCTTCAAATAGTAATTAAACATCTAAAATGATCTTTATTTGTACGCTTTCTGAGAGGAGTACCTTTTCTCCGCTCGTTCACGATCCGCTGTATCACGATCCCGATACATATACAGAGAACTACAGTACAGTATACAGAGAACATGTCTTAATTGAACGTTTGGGGAACTGTTGGGAAAAACATCTGATGTGTAACATTATATTAGATCCGTGTATTACAGTAGCTCTTAATATATATTCCATCTCATTAATGTTAATCTAACAATAAAAGAAAAGAGGGAATCACTGGCTGCTATTGATTGAACTGCTTTTGTTGTTTCAGTAATCAGTTTATTTGTAATGAACACACTAACGGGATTTTTACCTTTTTTGTTTGCATCTGTTCTTTTTTACAATAACAAAAAAAAAGCTATATTGTGATTATTAATATAGTAATTATTATTAAGAAAAGAACTGGAGGAAAAGATGCAATGTTGCAGGTGATTTTGCTTTGGAACCTTCAGAAAACTTTAACTTGATTTTTCTCATAAATGACTTTGCTGACTCTATCGACTTCAAACGGCAGTAGCTCAGTAATTTTTCGTCCGATTCCAACAAATCATACTAATTTTTGAAAAATTGCTCATTGTGACTCATTTAGCCAGCACAGGTCACATTTGTTCCTGTTTTACGAATAAACTTGCTTCATTTTGTTCAGTTTCTCTGAAAACAAGACTTGATTTCTTCATGTTGCATATCTAGTATCTTGATTTAAGGATGTTAAGATATTTGTATTGGAAAACAAAACCACTGAGAAAAAACATTTTTGTAGTGCATGCAAGATTTAATGCCATGACAATTAATTTAATACTTTCTGCTCTGATTTAAGACCTTTTTAAGGCTTTAAACTGTGGAAGGGCAGACCTTTTTAAGACCCACAAAAACCCTGTAATGAGAAACTTGACGCTTCTAATCACAGGTAGGTCCCACCAAACAACTTTAAAAATCATAAAGACTTATAATTTTGTTTAATTTCCTTCAAAAGACCTCAGGTGCATTAGTGGTTTATAACTAAATAATTGACTGATTAGGAGACTCTTGATCTTGAATAAATGATCAATAAATAAAATGAAATTAATAAATTATCTATCTCTCAAATAGGTCCTTCAAGGTATCTTGGAGAGGTGAGGTGTCCAAGTCACAACATCTAGCTACTGGGGTGCCTCAGGGCTCAGTTCTTGGACCACTTCTCTTCTCTGTCTACATGGCATCACTAGGTTCTGTCATTCAGAAACATGGCTTTTCATATCACTGCTATGCTAGAGTTATGTGCCCTCTAGAAGCTTGCGTTCTTCAAGTGAAAGGCGTATTATTGTGCCATCTCAAAGAGGCACAAAATCACTTTCACAGACTTTTTCATTAACTGTTCCCTCCTGGTGGAATGACCTGCCCAAATCAATCCCAGCAGCTGTCCTTAACCATCTTCAAGAGATGACTAAAAACACATCTGTTCCACCTTTATTTGACCCTCTAACTCGAGCACTTTCTATTCTATTTTATTTAGGCCCTGGAATGTAAATTGTACCAGGAGAACCCCGCCAAAAATTTTTTTATTTTACCCCCCGAACGCGATTTGTACTGGGGGACCCCCTCAAAAGCAATTGGGCTATTTTCATGCTAGTTTTGAGTAGTAATTGGGCGGGCTTTGTAGCGAAAACCTGGCAAACCTGCACCAGACAGAGCTGTTGGCGATTCTTCCTATTGTAAAGTCATGCAGTGTGTAACCTGCTGTTGTCGTTCCATCGTGCAGTGTGAACACAGCAACTTCTGTCATGAAAACAAATTCCTCGTATGTGTAAACATACCTAGCAATAAAACTCATTCTGATTCTGATTCTGATTCTGAAACATAGTTTGCGGACCAGTGTTGCCAAATCCGCGATTGCCGCCGGTTGTTTTTTATGTCAGCAGGTTGAAGTGACCCCAATAACGTGATATTTAGGCCCTGGAATGTAAATTGTACCAGGAGAACCCCGCCAAAAATTTTTTTATTTTACCCCCCGAACGCGATTTGTACTGGGGGACCCCCTCAAAAGCAATTGGGCTATTTTCATGCTAGTTTTGAGTAGTAATTGGGCGGGCTTTGTAGCGAAAACCTGGCAAACCTGCACCAGACAGAGCTGTTGGCGATTCTTCCTATTGTAAAGTCATGCAGTGTGTAACCTGCTGTTGTCGTTCCATCGTGCAGTGTGAACACAGCAACAACTGAATGCTACCCCAGATAGTCGTTCACTGTCCTTAACCATCTTCAAGAAATGACTAAAAACACATCTGTTCCACCTTTATTTGACCCTCTAACTCTAACACTTTCTATTCTTTTATTTAAACTTTTATTTAAAAAAAAACCTAACACCAGCTTTCTATTTTTCCTATTCTATCTACTTGTTTTTCTTTTTGTGTGTGAGTATACATATATAACCTTGCTACATGTACTGTGTTAGGCTAACCGAGACTTGTCATTTGCACTTACATATCATTGCTCTTTTGTTAGTTTTGATTGCTTCTATTGTCCTCATTTGTAAGTTGCTTTGGATAAAACCGTCTGCTAAATGACTAAATGTAAATGTACATGAGACAGCTTACTAATGCAGAAGCTCTTGACTCACATTATAGGGGGTGACTGGAAGTCGTCCTGACTCATTCGCTCAGACTGACGCAGACGCAGGACCTCAGCGTAGCTCAGACTGCGCAGTTTGACCCGCAGCTGCTCCAGAGACGGCGGTTTCATGGCCAGAGCTCTAGTGATCTGTTCTCGCACCACCGTCATCACCTAAAACACACATAGTGTTCACTGACACAAACACACACACACGAAACCGTTTCTCCTCTAGCAGACACACTCACTAACACACACCTTGTTGAAATCTTCTGCAGTGGCCCTCATTTCTTTCCACGTCTTATTGAGCAGCTGTATGCAGACGCAGAAGAACTCTTCCCAAGCGCGCTCGTGGGTAAAAAACATGGGATGGAAGTCGTTACACCCTTCATTCGCTGGAGAGACAAGACAAGCCTCTCTTTATGTGATCGACGCAGTACGTCACAGAAACACACAAGCTATAGAAACATTTGTCACAGTTCAACCTAAAAATGTAACAAAACTGGATATTGGATGACATTTTTAACAGTACAGGTCAGATTTAGATGAAATAAAATAAACATGAACTGAAATAATATAAAATATAAAAACTTAAACTTATTTTATCTCAGTTATATGTCTCATTTTTATTTAGTTCCCCTGGGGTTGTATGGATTACGGCAGAGGTCTTCAACCCTGCTCCTGGGGTCCCACCGTCCTGCTTCAGCACACCTGCCTGTGTATTTTCAAGTTATCCTGGAAATCTCAATTAGCTGGTTCAGGTGTGTTTGATTAGGGTTGGAGCTGAACTCAGGTGGGAATCGCTCTGGATCTCCTCTAAAGCTGCTCTCTAACGGACCCTCCGAACACAGTTCAACTCATTCATCAGTGAACTGAGGAATCAAAAAGATTGCAGAATACTTACGCAGTTCTCCAACCTGTAGAATATCACACAGCACGCGCGTCAGCTCAATGGCAGAGCGACCAAATGGACACTCGTGTTTATCTTCTCGACTGCTGTTTTCTAGAACAATCTGAAAAACAAAAGCACAGTATGTACAGGCCATTGACATTTTATTATTATATTTTTATCAATAGGAGAGGTGCAAGAGGACATAGGAAGCAGAAGGGAGAAGATGTACTACAGGGAAAAAATGGACTTGGTTCCTTGAATAGTTCCTTGAAAAGCGATACAAGATATATAAAAGGTCATCTGGGACTAACACCCCTGTAATTCTATCATATTCTTCAAGCTTCCAATGAGGATGAATATTTTCTGATGGAACTCCCATTTCTTTATTTAACATTTATTGCTGTCCATAACAACTTACAATTACGTGGCATTTGTGTCTGATATGTCTGCCTCAAGCCACCAGAGGGTGCAATCTCCTGAGTTTAGTCTTTAAGTCTGTTCGTCATTTTTGATCTAATGTCTGTTCTCTCCATTTCTGTTTAGTCTTGTTATTTAGAATTTACCCCTAGATTGATTACTGTGCCTGCTTTTGGCTTCATGCACGTCTTTTTGTACGGTTTCTTTAGGATTTGTCTTTGTTAACTGATCTTTTTGATAAAACTTCAGCAAAAGCAGCCCCCAGCATGATCTATACACGGCTTTCTTACAAAATGAGGGAAAATATAAACATTTAATGTGTTTGGTAAAATACTGAAGCTGTAATGAAACTTGTCTAATCAAACTAAGAGTGGCAAGTTATATATAACAAGACATTGTTACAGAAACTGTTCTGGGATTGTGTGATTTTGTTTATTCACACTTCCAAAGTTTCCCCGTGTTCTGTGCTTTCATTCACACACATCCTGAACTGTCCCATGAAGTCAAAGTGATCACAATGTGACATCTAACATACTCACAGAGAAGCCCTGTTTATTAGGTTTTGTGTTATACTCTTGTAAATAACTGCAGTGCATGATACCACTAAGCTTGCCATTCAATTTTATTGTCTGCATGCATGGTAAGTAGCTCCCTGGGGCCCGTTCTTCGTACGTCGCTAACTCCGTTAGCTGGATTTGATTGCTGATGATTTGGCGAGATCTTGGATTGTTTGGTTCTTCGAAGTTCATCCCGGAGTTGCTGTCATGGCAACAGCTCTGTAAGCTTAAACCTGCTCGGGAGCAGCTTATTTAATGTAAACAGGATTAGATGGCATCTTTTTAAGCAGAATTGATACTTAAAATCTGTCCGTTACCAACGCTTCTTTATTACTAGAGTACCCTACTAATCCAGGGACAATAATTTAAAATAATAATCATTTAAAAATTAATTTAAAGATAATATAATAATGCTGTGTAGTCTTTAATACCATAGACACAGCCAGTTTTACTCACTGAAATATTTATTCATCATAAAATTATTACTTCATAATTGTATTAGAGTCTTACACACATGCTATACAGATAATGTAGAGTCGTGCATTAATGTGAGTGCTGACAGATATTATCGGAGTGGCTTGATGGAGCGCAGGAGATGCAGATAACTTGATCTTGACCCTTAAGAAACTTTAATTAATGCTGTCACGTAACAATTCTGTTCAAATATAAAATTAAATTAATTGCTAATTACTTCATTGAAATAAAAATGTAAAGCCTGTACAAATATTAGAAATCGTGAATATAAATAATTGGGAATCATGTAAAAAAATTTTATAAAATAAAAACAGTGCACATTTCATGTATCTATTATAGCATTTATGTAGTTTTGTTCGCTTGGCTGTTTCCTTATAAAAGTCCAAAAATTTGTCAAGTTTTTCGTCAGGTGTCTTTTTTAATTATATGATGTCATTACGTATCATTTTGTAGTCGACATTATGTATCGATATTCGAAACCACGGTCAGCAATGCAGTGATTGGCTGGCAGCCCCTTTTAAACCAACCCATGAACGCGCAATTATCTCAGATAACTCAATCCAGCCAGACTAATCATCATCAACAGGTGCGTTCGAAGAACCGAATTAGCCAGATCCTGAGTAGCGCGGTGATATCATCTTGGATGTGATATTTCATCTCAGATGTAATAAGCGACATATGAAGAACGGGCCCCTGGTCCTCTTATGACTTTTGTTTGCAGCAATTGTTATTCCCTTTTTTCTGTTTTTGTCCGTATACAGACTTTTTCCTTCACCTTCCCCTAATCAAACAGTCATATGATTGTCAACAATTAACTTTATCACAATGACACACATCCTACCGGCATCAGCTCTGACTCTATTCAAACAGACGTGCTGTAGTGTGCCAGTAATGTTACCCGGGAACTCTTTTTTCAGCATTACAGATCTGGCTTTGATTCACTCAGATGTCTGATAATAATAATAATATATAATAAGATTATAATAATACAACATTATAATGCATTATTATTATTATTATAGTATTGTTATTATAGATTACCATGTTTTACATAATTACTTTTACTCAACAGTTACAACAGAGGGCACAATGCTTGAGAAAATACTTAGAAAACAAGAGATGACTGTTATGAATGTGTGTTCATACTCTGATATATGTGTCCTGATGCACTTTGGCGAGGTAAAGCATGTTGTCTAGTGCCAACATTCCCGGTGGTGTCTGAGTGAAATCCATGGCAGGATTCACAGGATTCTGTGCACAAAACACAATACACACATCACTATCACCAATCATCATCAAACCATCACATCACATCACATCAGCACATCACCATCATTGATCATCATTAAACCGTCATCACATCACACACATAAACACACCACTATCACATCACATCAGCACATCACCATCACTGATCATCATTAAACCATCAACACATCACCACATCACTATAACAGATCACCATTAAACCATCACATCACACACATCATCATATCACTGATCATCATTAAACCATCACATCACACACATCATCCCATCACTATAACAAATCATCATTAAATCATCACACACATCATCACATCCCTATCACAGATCATAATTAAACCATCACATCACACACATCATCACATCACTATACCAGATCATCATTAAACCATCACATCACACACATCATCCCATCACTATAACAAATCATCATTAAATCATCACACACATCATAACATCCCTACCACAGATCATCATTAAACCATCACATCACACACATCATCACATCACTATCCCCAATAATCATCAAACCATCACATCACATCACTGATCATCATTAAACCATCAGCACATCACTATCACAGATCATCATTAAACCATCACATCACACACATCACCACATCACTATAACAGATCACCATTAAACCATCACATCACACACATCATCACATCACTATCACTGATCATCACATCACACACATCACCACATCACTATAACAGATCACCATTAAACCATCACATCATCACATCACTATCACTGATCATCACATCACACACATCACCACATCACTATAACAGATCACCATTAAACCATCACATCATCACATCACTACCACTGATCATCACTTAACCATCACATCACACACATCATCACATTACTATCACTGATCATCATTAAACAATCACATCATCACATCACTATCACTGTTCATCACTTAACCATCACATCACACACATCATCACATTACTATCACTGATCATCATTAAACCATCACATCAACACATCACTATCACTGATCATCACTTAACCATCACATCACACACATCATCACATCACTATCACTGATCATCATTAAACAATCACATCACACACATCATCACATCACTATCACTGTTCATCATTAAACCATCATCGCATCATACACATCATCACATCACTATCACTGATAATCATTTAACCATCACATCATGCACATCACATCAATATCACTGATCATCATTAAACAATCATTACATCACATCAGCACATCACAGTCATCTATCATCATTAAACCATCATCACATCACACATCAGCACATCACTATCACTGATGATCATTCAATAATTTTGAAATGACATGAGCAAACACTCTTCACTCACAGTGAAGCCCAGCATCTTGTAGTCTTTAGTGTAGATGGCTTTCCTCTTTTCTGTTCCGCTGGGATCACTGTCTCCATCAAACACGATTCTTCTGAGTTCAAAGATGATATCTCTTTGTGTCTAAATATAAGAGAGGTTATACTATAACAAGAATATAATTTAAGACATAATTCAAGCTGTCTAAATAAGCTACAAGAACACAACTTTCCCAAGTATCTTGGTAAATGTTGAAGACAATTCAGCAATGTTTTGCATTTTATGCCATGAGTATGCTGGTCAAACAGTGGCTATGAATATACCTGAACGTTCAAGTAAGGGACATTCTACACTCAGTCAGTTAGTCAAGTTCTATCAAAACCAATGTTCAGCAGTTTACTGTTTTCCAAAATTGTAGTTCTAAAAAATATTCACAAATAGCATAATAAAGTTGGAAGCATAGTTTCTTTTTAGTATTACATGTAGATCTACAACTTGCTCTCACATTTATTCCCATATTACAGAAATCTGCACATGACATGCAGAAAAAAAATCATGTTTGTGATTTAAGAAATCATTAAACACTTTTTAATCATTTGTTGTAATTAAAACATGAGCATGTCCTTTTTAATTCATTGCCACAATCTAACTAAAACATTCATGTTTTCATTAATTATAATTAAATTAAACAAATGTGTTAATAACTTCTTCCTGCATGTCATGCACAGTGCTCTGTATATTACACATTTTCAAGGTTTACATAAAGTCTGGGGACAGTTATACTTCCTAATTATTTTGCATATAAAGATCAGTGTTTGATTTCCCTTGACAGTGTGAAGCTTAACACTGACAGAGAACAATTTGGATATTTAACCAGTCTTTGTTTTTTTGTGGCTGGCTGCAATTACTCTGCACAAAATAAATAAAAAAAAAGAGAAAGAAATGAAAAAAACGCCTATTGATGTTTAACTCTGCAAATAGTTAACACTTCTGCTCTGCATAAATGAAATTGTCAACCCAATTAATACATTTATTCACTTAAACCATACATCCTGTTCCCTCCACTAATCTTAATGTCAAGTCAAACATTTTCAGACACTTGTCAATCACTTGCCTGGTCATTCGGGTCCATTTTTGTCATCATGCGTTCTTCCAGAAGGTTGAAGGTCAAAACCTGCAGCACGTACAGCTGATGTGCCATTTCAGCTTTGACTGGTCGATTCCCCCGGATGATATGCTAGAAGACAAGTTTAAAATGAAAGACCGTCAATGCTTTCACTCACAGGGGTGTTTCTTATAACAACACTCTCATTATCACACTGCTCCTGAAGAACTATAAACTGATGTTTCTCACACACATCTGCTGGGAAGAAGTTCTATGAAGACAGATCTGATCTGTATTCCATCAAAAGATGCTCAATAACAATGGATCTTAGCTCTTAAGAGCGCTCGCTACATGCAAGGTTACAAATTCCACGTGCGTTTCCCAAAAATGCACTTAACATGAACACGTGAGAACACGTTCTACGTCGCTTCAGAGTCGCTGTCCGTTTGTCAAGTGCTGAAATATTACCTCACAGAATTGTATCCTTGAACCTAATAGTTGTCACCTTATGTGGATAAAAAAAATACCTTTCAAAAAGATTAAATTAATGTTCTTCTGGAGGAGGTAGAGCGAAACTAAGATGTCATTTTCAGCAGATTTAAAAGACACCATACAAATAAGTAAAAACAAAACATATGGGAGGACTTTGCTACAAAATTAACTGCACAGGGCTGTTAAGAGATCAGGGAAGGAGGTCTGTAAGAAGTGGCAGGACTTTGCAAGCTTGGCAAAAAGGAAAGGCACTGCATGGATGGTAATAAAAAAAAAAACAAGTAGTTGGACCAACGACTCCCCCCTTCTCACAGCAGAGGAAGAAAAGACCTGTGTGGTGTTATTGACCTCCAAGGAGGAGTAGGGATGCCTCAACCTGAGCCTGAGTCAGGTCCGTCATGCTCAGAGGAACTATCAGTTTCACCTGCCATCTCCTAGTCCTCCAAACAACCCTCTCAGGCCTCAGCCTCCATCTTCAGTTGTCCAGACCGCAGCCACAACACCTCAGCAGTTTGAGAATGTCTGTGGTTTTAGTCAGGACTCAGTGCAGCTGGAGAGATGTTTGAAAGACATTAGACAATGTCTCAAAGAGACTAATAAGAGGAATGACAATTTTCAACAGCAGCTTATTGACCTCAAGAAGGCCAAGCTGGCTTTAGGGGAGAGGAGACTTGCACTGAAGGAGATGAGTTTTGCAATGCCCTTCATTTCTGTGCCAATTATCTTGCCAGAACAGTCAGGTAATAAGATTGTTTTATGGTGATTAAATTAAGTTTCTAAAATTTCTTGTGCAATGTGAAATGTTTTCTTTATGTAGTTATTTCTCTTCCCATTGTGAAATGCCTTTTCAGGTCCTGGGTAACTCAAATCAATAAAACTATGTTGATCCAATGCTTTTCATGGCCATGTGTTTGTTGAACCACCCAAGGCCTAAGGCCCTATAAAATACTATAAGAATTCTTATGAGTTCTTTCAGGTGTTTCTAAAGTGAATGACCAATGGTTGGTTATTTTCAAACATAAACATGTCATTTTAGATATTATTAAAATATAAAGTTTACATATCAAAGGTGACAGTAGCACAAATATATGTACTTCATCTAGCCAATACATATCTATAGGTACAGACAAAAAGGTTTATTGCAGACATGTATTATCAGCACTATTCTATGCATACATATTTATGATATCATGTGCATTTTTATTTGTTCATTTTTTCCCTTTTCTTTTAAATTATTTCATTTATAAATTAATAAAAAAAGAGAAGTACAATCAAAACCTTATATCATAATCACATTGCACTTGAATAAACTTAAAGGTGTAATCTGCCAGTTGTCCTGCAGGTGACCGCATAACTCTGTCTTCTTATGATGAACTGAGGGCTTTACGATTACTCCAGAGCACTGGTAGATACTTAAAGGAGACATATTATGCCCCTTTTTACAATATATAATATAAGTCTCTGGTGTCCCCAGAATGTGTCTGTGAAGTTTCAGCTCAAAATACTCCACAGATCATTTATTATATCATTTTGAAAATGCCTATTTTGAGTGGAAGCAGAAACACGCTGTTTTTCGGGCCTGAATCTTTAAATGCAAATGAGCTGCGGCTCTCCGCCCCCTTTTCCAGAATAGAGCTGCGCCTTTACAGCTCGGACCTGCTAAAAACATCTGTTTTGGTTCTGATTATCATGTTTATCGTGCTGAAATCATGCGTTTTAAACCAGCATGTTCTGCTCAAACTTTCTCCATGGCATTAGAGCTGGTACACCGTTGTCGCTTGTGAAAACACAATGACGGCACTGTGGGTGTAAGTTTACAGATTAAGGGGTGGTGATATTATAATGAGATCTTTGCCACGTCACAGAGGGAGCGAGATCAGACGCGCTGGTTTTCTCAGACGCTTGCAGAAAAAGGCTTCCCAAAACAAAGTTACTGGGTTAATCTTTTTCACGTTTCCTTGGTTGGTAGATGCGGGACTCTAAACAGTGTTCTGTGCTCGTCTCTGCAGCCAAACACTGAACAGTTAGCATGCTTCGCTCAAACTTTCTCCATGGCATTAGAGCTGCTACACCGTTGTCGCTTGTGAAAACACAATGACGGCACTGTGGGTGTAAGTTTACAGATTAAGGGGTGGTGATATTATAATGAGATCTTTGCCACGTCACAGAGGGAGTGAGATCAGACGCGCTGGTTTTCTCAGACGCTTGCAGAAAAAGGCTTCCCAAAACAAAGTTACTGGGTTAATCTTTTTCACGTTTCCTTGGTTGGTAGATGCACCGGGAATCAGACATAAATATCAATATAAGTGTGGTCATCCACTGGGGGAAAATTCAATCAAATCATTATTTTCAATTAAACAGGGGGGTATACATTCCATATACTCAAGAAAAGAGCTCCACATTTTATAGGAGTTCTTGGAAGAGTCCCTCGGTGAATGCTTCTTTTTTTTCCAGTTTGATAAAGTGAAAAACCTCTTTAATCCACATCGAGTGGGTAGGAGACATTAAAATTATTTTCAATGCATTAGAATCAAAGGTCTAGCCAGGAGGGATACAAAGGCCACAAAGTCTACCTTGTAACCAAGGTGATGAACTGGTAAGGGAAGTGTACGGAGAGTGCTGTTATTGCTATGGGTTTGATGGTTGTTCCAACTACCTGAGATATTGTCTCAAATATTTGAACCCAATAACCATTTAAACTTAGGCAGGACCAGAGCACGTGTGCCAGGGTTGCGTGACCCTGATAGGATCAACATCAGAGTACATTTTAGTGAGTAAGACCTTAGTACAGTGAATGCAATGGAGTATTTTGCATTAGATCCAACCATGATTGGCACACAAAGATGAAGAATGTATAAGATACTTTCCCATAATTCATCTGGAATATCTTCTGATAGGTCTTCTTCCCACTGAGGTTTTATAGATGTCAATTAACTTCTATGTAGGGAACATATTTTCTCATAAATATATTAAATCATCCCTTTCCCAATAGATATCGGTTCAAGGAATGAGACCAAGGGAGTTGTAGTGGGGAGACTAGGAACTTGAGGATGCATATCACGGATAAAACTGTGAACCTGCAAATACCGGAAAAAGTTGTTTCTGGGCATCGAAAGCTTATCTGAGAGTTGTTGAAAGGATGCAAAAACATTATCTATATACATTTTTAAACACTGATATGCCGTATGTTGCCCATTGGGAAAAGGTCCTGTCCATCATTGATAGTGGGAAAACAAAATTTGATGCTATGGGGGCAGCCATAGAAAAAAGCTTGTAATCCAAAATGGCACCTAAACTGTCTCCAGACTTGCAGTGAATTGGTAAAGAGAGGTAAAGAGAGAATATGAACTGTTAATAGGTGAATGTAGCAGGGTTGTTAATGTAGTGGGCAGACACAAGGCTACTTCCATGGCAAGCCACATGGGTAAACACTGAGACTGAGTTGGTTTAGTCAATATTGAAAGTTAGTAGCCTAGTAGTAATATTGAAAGTTGGGCAACGCCATCCCTCCAAGAGACTTGGGTCATTGAAGAAGTGTTTTACGAATTCTAGCAGTCTTTTTATTCCAAATAAACTCTGAAACTAATCCATTGAGTCTCTAAAAAAAGGACTGAGGGAGAAAAACGGGGATACATTGAAACAATGAAGAGAATTTTGGGAGGGTATTCATTTTTACAGTATTGATTCTGCCAGCTAAGGATAACAGAAGCACCGACCATCTTTCAAAGTCTTTCTGAACTTGGAGCAATAGAGTTTTGCAATTTAGTTTAGGCTGGATTTAGTTTATAGCCCGAAATAGAGCCAAATGATTGTAAAGTATTAGGAACCGCAGGAACTGACAGTAAAATCTGAAATATACAGAAGATCATCTGCGTACAGTGAGACCTCCTGCTCTATATCTATTCTTGTTATTCCTTTTATTAACGGGTTAACCTTTAAAGCAGTGGAAAGAGGTTCGATGGCAATAGCAAACAGAAGTGGGCTCAAGGGGCATCCATGACGAGTGGATCTGTGGAGGTTAAAGTATTCAGAGCGAGTATTATTAGTTCTAACTGAGGCCTGGGGAGCGGAGTACAACAGTTGTACTCATGAAATTAATCTTTCACCAAGACCGAATTTCTTTAAAGTATAAAAAAGTTATCCCCATTCTACCCGATCAAATGCTTTCTCAGCATCTAGTGATATTACAGCTTCCGGGGTAGAAGGGGAAGAAGAATTAAACACCATGTTACATAATCATCTGATATTAAAAAAAGAATGTCTACTCTTAATAAAACCGGTTTGATCTGGAGATATAATCGCAGGTAATATAGATTCCAGTCGCACTGATAACAGTTTTGATAACAACTTAAAGTCGACATTAACTAAACCAACAGGCCGATACGAGGAGCATTCCAGAGGGTCTTTATTCTTTTTTAGGATCAGGGACATTGAGGCTTGATTAAGAGTTTGAGGACGTTTTACTAACTTAAATAGTAACTTAGAATATCAAACTATGGGATATAGAATAGCAAATATCTGAAGATGGGGTGACCGCATATATATTATCTAATTGAGTTATTCTGTGTTATCTCTTTTTGTTTAACTTTGTCTTATGACATATTAAATTATTTCTCTCCTGAGGAATGTCATCAAAGCCTCTCAAAAAAGAGATGCAGATATCTCTGGACTTCTATTTGTGAATATGAAAGTCTATTTTATTAGAAACAAATTCCACAAAGCTCTGGTCTAATAACATACAAGTATTCAGCCGCCACAATAGTTGTGTACCATCGAGCCCATCAAAGTAAATATTCATGGTTACTGGTGCATGATCTGATATTACAATAGCATTATTACTGACTGAATAAGTCTATTATTAGAAAATAATCAATGTGTGTGAATGTTTGGTGAACATGGGAAAAGAGAGAGAATGCTTTACCATGTGGATTAAAAAACACCATAAAAGATTGGACTGCACAAGCAGATTTTGAGGGTGAATTATATTTGAGAGACGAACGATAAAGATCTGGGACAAGCCAACAATTGAAAACCCCTCCCAAAATAAGAAAATATGAAGATATATCCGATAGTGAGGAAAATAAGTATCTAAAGAATTTGTCATCATCCCAATTAGGGGCATAAATATTAACCAAGAGAGGTGCAGTATTATCAATTCTCCCTGAGACGATGACATACTTGCCATTTGGTTTAACATCTGAACATACGAATTGCACAGATTTGTTTAATTATTGCTGTCCCTCTAGCCTTACCCTGAAACGTGGAATGGTAAACTAGACCAACCAATCTTCTTTTTAATAATAGCTGGTCTTTGGCTTTAAGATGAGTTTCCTGGAGGTAAACAATATGTGACCCTAAGTGGTGAAGATTAAAGTTCCAACTAACAAATCTTAGGTTACTACCCTCTGGCCTATATACCACCTTAGGTTGTGCCATATTTACAATGTACAGAAAGAATAATGATAGAATAAAATATGATAAAATAACAATGTTGGTAAAAACATCTGACACAAAAGGAAACACACTGGCTCACCTACAGAAAAAAAAACATCTCCCCAAAACACGACACATGCATGACCCTTCCTTAACATTAACTTTCTAACTGAACACATTGAGGAAACACAAGCTTTAACTCTAACTCGCAACATGCTGTCTCAGAGAAGGCAACAGTATCTGAAATATAACAGGAAACAGTACATATAACAGCACTTTTGAAATTGTGTCAAGCCCAGACCATCATCAACATAAAATGCTTCACTGGAATGACAATAGAAGGACCATTAATAATAAAATAAAGTTTAACCTTAGAATACACTTCACAGTTTTTGTAAATTACCAATAAGAGAAGGTCAATATTACCAATCGGCATAATGATATCCAGTAAAGGTACTCAGGTCAGACCTAGCCCAGTCGATGAACTATGCATCATTACCTAGTTTTGCGAATGAAGTCCAGTACCGCAGTCAGTTCCACAAACGTGTTTGAAACTCCATCAGCTGTAGTGTAGTGAACACCGCGGGGATGAGTACGCCATACCGGAGTCCAGGACACGAGTGGAGAACATGTTTGACATCTCTGGATGCAGACCGTTTCTTAGCCACCGCTGTAGTGTTGTCAGCAAAAATAGACAATCTCTTTCGGTTGTAATTGAGAGTAGAGAGTCCCACAGCCCTTTGAAGAATCTCAGTACAAACTAATGCACTCTAATGACGAGACGGCGAGGAGGCTGCCCTTTCTTTGGTTTCTCACGCAGTGTATGGTGCACACGATACAGCAGGGGCTTATCCTGAAGCCGCAACACCTCCAGCAGAAGTTGGGCAACATATTCAGATTGACGGGAACCTTCAGGAAGACCCACCAGACAAACATTGTTTCTCCTAGAACGACCCTCCAAATCTTCGCAGTTAGCATCCAGATGAGTTAAGCAATCATTGAGAGATGAAATCAAATTCTCCAGTTCTGCTACTGTGTGATCAGAAGAGCGCTCCAGTTCTTTGATGGTACTAGTGTTGGATTCGACCATCTGTTGTAGATGTTCCAACCAGCCTTTAACATCTGACCGCCCTGTGACAATCTCCGAACACAAGTCAGTAGATAATGAGTCTATTTTCTGACAAATCTGAGTCCAGCATCATTTGAAGACAACTGATATTCCCGGATGAGTTATCCGAGGCGCACTTATTCGTCGAGGACCCATTAGTGTCACCTAAAGAGACCTCCCTTGGTCGCGAGACATTGTCATGTTTACCACTTATGATTAATGCAAGTGTAGTCTTAGAGTCTTGGGGGTTCGGTTCTTGCTCAAGGCTCTCAAGGTGGAAGAGAGCACTGGTCATTCACTCCCCCACCTTCAATTCCTGCCGGACCAGAGACTTGAACCCGCGACCTTCGGGTTACAAGTCCGACTCTCTAACTATTAGGTCATAACTGTCCCTGAATATAGAGAGTTTCCTGCTGTTTACGCATAATAACCATTCCCCTACACGGTTTCTTTATTTGTTTTAAACAGCAGAATTAATATTTATTTATTTCTGGTCATAATTTGTAAACTGCTGTGCCGTGCTGCTTATATAGCAACAGTAACCAAAGGGGGTCGGGTCTTTGCCAAGGGTCCATTACTTTTACAAAAAATTACAAAAAATAAAACCTTCAAATGTGTGCTAGGCCAACCTTTAACTTTTGACATTGGTGAAAGGCAAAAGAACCATCATCACATGATGGTGATATATATTGTGTTCAATAGAGACTTTGTTATGATTTGTCCATTTTTGGTGGTGTGTGATCTCCATAATGACAATAAATAGATAAACTAATAAACAATCATATTTCTTGACAGGGTTAGCAGGTTAGCAGAAGATGAGAAAATGCTTAATTAAACCTTTCAGTCAGCGGTTTTCTGGATTCGTCACAGGTGAAATCACTGTGTGCTTTGAATCTACAGTTCCTCATTAGCTGAAACATTTAGTAACTGTCTGAATGTGTTGAGCAACTAATAGCAGAATATGAGTAACAAAGGGAATCTGATAGCATTATGTATGGATTTACACTTACGTTGAGTATGATGCCGCGGAGGTGTTTCTGAGCCAGTGTACTCGCCATCTCCTGCCATAAACACACACAGAGTTAGACACAGATCACAAACATCAGCGTGCCTGTGAACGTCTGAGCCAGACTATCACCACAAACACACAGCACAGACACAAACACAGCCGACAACTGGGTGAGAATGTTTTGAGAGCAAATTGGTTAAGGAAATAAATCAATGATTCATTGAAGAAAATGAAGAAAGTCACAGGTTTTGTTCCTGAATGAACCTCAACTTTTGAACAAATATGGACTGTTATATCAGGACTAATACATTTCTGCTTGACCAATCAGATCTGAGGACTGGATATAATTGTATACAAATGAATAAGTAATTATACTTTGTATTTGCCGTTTCTTTGTGTGACAGTTTCCTACACTTTTGTGTCGTTCCTGTGTGCGTGTGTGTGTGTGTGTGTGTGTGTGTG